AGGAGGAGGAGGAGGAGGAGGAGTGAGTTATCAAAATTGATAGTACTGATCAAATGAGGAAAACCAAGCAAGGATAATATAGACCTGGGTTATACAAATTCTTCTGTACAGCTTGGACAATATTCCCCTAGCCCCAAATCACCCCCCTCTCTAAATTAAAAAAGTGGGTGAAAATGAAAAAAATAAGTTCTAAGTACATGTAATTAAATGAAACAAATAAAAGTGCATCAGTCAGATGAGACATACCGGGTTGAACAGGAAGGAGGTGAGGAAAAGAGGAAGGGGGATGGGAGAGGGCACACGCCAGATAGTCTTCAACCCTCATTCTCCAGAAGTGTTCATCTTATCGCAGAGACTGACATTGATGGTCTTGGTCTCTCGACATTCTAAAAATAAATCAATAGCCTACCCCACAAAAGGAAATATCCCTGGAAGGGAATACCCCCACAAGCTGTCCGTAAATTTAGGTCACCGGGGTTCCCTTCGAATCAAGGATGGAGGATGAGTTAAGAATTCTATATAAGACGACGAACAATTAATGAGTAGGCCAAACATCAGGGACTTCTAACAAGCTCGTGAACTTACACTAGTTTCATTGTCTGAACGAACGTACCTTGCTCACGCTGCCTGGGCGATCCTGAATTTTAATTTTACCTTCATCCCCAAAAAGACCAAGGTGTTATATATAAATATAAGACAAATCGATATCCTGTACAATTTAAAAGCAAGAAAAAAAGAAATATTCGCGGCAGATCTTTCTGAATAAGAGAAACTTTTGAATAACCACATACGTACAGGGTGAAAAAGCATTGTAAATATACTTGATAAATAATAATATACTGTCAACAACATTGTTGTCGGTGGACATTTTTCTTCTTCTTAAAGCACAAATTAAACCTGTGTATAAGAAAACGATATAATAAGTCACGAAACAAGGGCGCTCAAAATAAGTTTTATATCTCGTCAAAAGTAGAAAGAGAGCCAAATTATTTTTGAGATCCAACCAAGAGCAGGAACAGTCTACAGAGCGAGACTAAGTCGTCGAAAATGGTGAGTAGATCTACATGCTATTTTGTTTTCTGTCCTCTGTTGTCTGAATTGTATATTAAATCAATCATCTTTTAAACCAATAATGTAATTAAGACAGACTATATCAGAAAAATAACCGTTCTCGTTCCTCTGCTTGTTAAAACTGAAACTGTGACAAGATCAAGCGCAACACAATATTTGTTGCCTGGCATTTGAAAAAAAATCACATTCAAAAGAGATTACTGTTCATATAGATCTATTCAGATTGCCCTTTTTAAATTTATCGTTGGTATTACGACTCTTTAAGTCGGAATTTAAAGCAACATCTTTCGTTGACTTGGTTAAAACTTCTTTTTTTTTAACGAATTCTTTTCGGAAAAAGATCGGTTATAGAACGAGTTTTTGTTTGTTTGTTTGTTTGTTTGTTTGTTTGTTTGTTTGTTTGTTTGTTTGTTGGTTGGTTACTTAAAGGTGGGAGGTGTTCTTTTTTGAAACAAGGCTATACTCTGTTTTTCCAACTCGTTATTTCTCTTGTCATATAAAAAATTGTTTCACATTACGAGACGGCCAGTTACACAGACTGTTTCTTGGTTCTTTGTGAACAAGGTAAAACGTATGTGTGGCAACATTCAAACGTACATTTTCAAGCAATGTTTCTCTTCCTTGCTATTTATCATATTATTCTCATTTTTGTTTCAAAAGTAAGTCATGTTCTGATAAAATGTTTTGTTTTCAAGCTATGTTTTTTCCCTTGATGTATATTACCATATTTTTTTCCGGTTTTTATTTGGTTGCTTTATAAAATAGCTTTTGCCCAGTTACGGACAGAATAAGCAAATGCACATTAAAATGGAAACCTGTGATTCTGATGTTTAAACCTTGTCCTAATTACATTGTATTGGGTGCGAAACTTCACTTGGAAAATAAGGAGAGAGAGAGAGAGAGAGAGAGAGAAAGAGAGAGAGAAGAGGACCTCAATAAAGGAGTGAACCATTTTGAGATTTGGAGGTATCTGTCTTTTATACTCTCTGTGTGTATTTAGTATTGAGTGATACAGAGGGAAAACTCTTTGCCTTGCCCTCATTACAATGTGAGCTGTCATGTTTTGTCCCATCAGGCGGGGTGAAATATACGGGCTCCAAAAATGGTCCCAGTTCTATCGGTGAGAGAGCATAATTTTAATCGAACAGCCGAGTGCAAATTATTACAGCACAATAACCACTTACAACACAATACCAAAGATCCTAAATTACAAGACGGTTCTCCCCGCTAAAAGGAAAAAGGTCCAAAACGCGCTAATTCTCAAGTCGCGTTACTTTCGAATGCTGTCTTGGAGCTTTTCTTTCGTTTCTCGAGAAGAAAAGCTGTGCATCTTTCAGATTTAATAAACACTTTTATTGTTGTTCTTCTGTACAAACGTTTTCTAGGATACCTGACTCGATATAAAGGATTTGAATATCTTTCTCTCACTGGAAAAACAAAAGGCAAACAAGACAAGAGCAGGCCTGAAGAAACTTATTTGGAAAACCCGAACAGATAGGTGACGATGGAACACCTGGATCATAAAAATACAGGATTTTTTAAGAGCATCTGAGCGGAGAAATGAATGGAGAGTCATGATCATCAATGTCTATTTTTGACGTGCACTCAATAATGAGTTCCCTGCTGCCATCAGCTGAGTTCTGATCAACTATGACATTATGGTCTCTGAAGTCCAATTAATGTTAAATAAATATACAAATGGCATCTTTAACTACACTCATTTATTCCATTCCTCTTTTTCCACTCCTACACTAGATACAAGACACGCCATTCTCTTTAACTAAAAGCCCCCGTTATTTACTTGCTTACAAATACCGCCACTTACGCCTATGATGCTACTTTGTTTCGTCTCCCAGAAAGAAATCCTTTTTTTAGAACAGGGGTGCTCAGCGTCAAACTTAAAATAATAAGTTATCTTGCGAATGTTGGAGAAACACTGTCTGAATTTGGAAGACACGGAACCCTGAAATAAAACTAAATTTCCGCATATACTCAGGATGTGATAGTTATACATTAATTTGTAATGCATCTTTTTACTCTCTTCCCTACCCCTCCCCTCACCTCCCCTCCTACCAGATCCTTAAAACAATCGAGAACGGCGAGGATGTGGGTTCCACTGTGTCCCTGGGCTTCGTGCCGAATGGCGGGAACAAGGCTGTGTTTGAGTGGGCAGCGGCGGCCACGGCGGTACTGGAGAGGGATAAACACGCCACGCTGGTCATCTTGAGACATGGCAACGTTAAGCTGCGGGCCTTCGTCAGGTATGTCTAGACATGTGAGGTGGGCTAACAAAAGAAGTTACTTCTCAGATTCCAGTCCTATATGGACATAGATACGTCAAATTTATAGGTCTTTCTGCATGGATACTGTTTCCCTCTTAGCTGTCCCCGTGGTTTTATGCATCCCGCATAATTTAGCAAAATAAGATTATTTTTGCATAATTTCTGATTATTTTCCTTTATCATTCTTTGTTAAAATTAACAGATTCGCATAATTTCACATTTTTGTGCTCAGTTTGCATTATTACAGAATTATTCTTCCTTAAAACGACGGGGACAGTCTTATCTGGGTTGGCCGTGGCAGGCAGGTAGGGTCGGAAGCCCATCTGCTACATGACTTTAATTGTGTCGATTGGAGGGGGGGGGGGCCTTGAGAACACCTACATTAAAAAGAAATTGTCCTGCATCCATTCCGTGTGTCTGTGTGTCAGGGTCGAGACAATCGGCGGAACGGCTGAGGCGGGTTCCGACTACAAACATATCAAGAAGACGGTGGTGTTCGAACCCGGGGAGACCACCCAGGAGGTACAAGTGGAGATTGTGGACGACAACGAGTGGGAGCCGGACGAAGTCTTCTTTGTGAGGCTCACAGTTGACCCGGAGGAGCCATTTGTGCTGGGAACACGGCCGATCTGTGAGGTCACAATCGTCAATGATGACGGTAAGGCATTTTTCCTCGCCCTTTTCTTTCCTGTCTGTCAATGTCCTCATTCATGTCAGTTTCGCCCCCCCCCCCACACTTTGCACCCCTCCCACTTCCTCCTCCTCCTCCCTTTCGCTGTCTCCGCTGTCTCTGTCTTTCTTCTCCCTCTCTCTCTATCTCTCTCTTTCTTTCTACTCTCTCTCTCCCTCTCTCTCTCTCTCTCTCTCTCTCTCTCTCTCTCTCTCTCTCTCTCTCTCTCTCTCTCTCTCTCTCTCTCTCTCTCTCTCTTTCTGTCTCTCTCTGCTCCCCCCCTTCTCTTTCAATAAATGAATACAACACACGTGTGCAGCAAAAAATCAGTAACCTATGTTTATAATGAAGAAAGAAGTTTGCGATCAGCAATGAACATGATATGATGTACAAACAATAAGAATGAATTAATCAACAACATACATGTACAAACAAAGGCACCTACACACACACACACACAACACACACACACGCGCGTGTCACACACACACACACACGCGTGTCACACACACACACACACACACACACAAACACCCACCCAAACACAAACACACACACACACACACACACACACACACACACACACACACACACGTATGTGTGCACTCGCATATAGCTGAAGCAAGAAATAATTGACCCATCAACAGCACACACCTACTATCGGCATCTCTATTTCCTCAGATCCGGGCATGTTCGAGTTCGCTAAACCAAGTTTTGTGTTCAAAGAAAGCGCGGGAAAGGCCTTGGTGGAGGTCAAGCGCCTCAACGGCTGTGATGGGCGTGCCAGCGTGCATTGGACGACTCGAGACCAGACGGGAGAGAATGCTGCTGTGGCAGGAAGAGACTATCAGGCAGCTTCTGGGGATCTCGTATTTGAGCATGGCGAGCTGTCTAAGACCATTGAGATTGAAATCACAGACGATCAGGTGAGAAAGGCGGAGGGTGTAGGGAATACGTTCTCATCATAGCGGAGTTACAGGAACTCGGATTTATATTTTCAGTCATTTATACCTTTACAGTGACAGAGAATGATGTACACAAAAGTGGGTAGATATGGAATAATGTCAAGAGGGTGGCTAATGATAGGGAAAGATGGAAAGTGTTTGTTCGTAGCCTAATTAAACCCTGTTGCAGAATGAGAAACGCAATGATGATGATGATGATGATGATGATGATGATGATGATGATGATGATGATGATGATGATGATGATGATGATGCGAAGTAGCTTTGCCTAAGACACAACGCCAAACCCGGCAAAGCCGGGAATCAGAGTGACAACTTCTTTTCATCGGAAAGTGATGAAAAGTGCGCAATCAATCTGTGTTAAAAATGCACGTTGGGAAGTCGAACTAGGGACATTTGTAAAGCAACTCAGAATCTATAGTATACCAAAGGAAACACCTTTTCTTTACAAAGCATATTGTGGGCCAAAGAGGGCTGTTGAGAGTCACTGGGCTATACCTTTATTTTGGCTACGCTCTTTGCTAAACACACAAAAGACTTCGATTTTCAAAGTAGAGAAAATTGTTGATCTATGTCTTTGAGAATATTATTGCTATTTATGAAGATAGGTATTCCCCGCTGACTGGGTTGGTCTTGATAATTGTACATGGGGCTAAAAAGTGTCTCTTTGGTCATCTGATTGATGTTGAAGTTGGGGTAAACTTTATACGTATTCATGGAACATCTAGTCTTAACTCCTAATTGTGTGTTTCTGTTGTTCAGGACTATGAAAAAGACGAACATTTCGACCTTGAACTCACCAGCTGCTCCGAGGGGGCCAAACTAGGACATCTGAAAAAGACAGTCGTCACGATTCTCAACGACGACGGTAGTGTACCTGTTTTTTTATCTCCACATTTCCTCTGCATGCTCTACATGTTTCATATCAGTTTATGATACTGGAATGCCAACGACCACCAGCCTCTACAAGTAACACAAGAGATGTATGAAAACAAAAGGGCAGAAAGAGAAAGAGAAAACCCACTTTAGAGGGGAAGTCTGTTTTCTTTTCATAAGTGATAAGAAGTACAGCGGTTTATAATATGAAACTTACCCTCTCCCCCAATATCATTACTTCTCTCTCTCTCTCTCTCTCTCTCTCTCTCTCTCTCTCTCTCTCTCTCTCT